GGACAGAAAAATTATTTAAAAATGTGTATATTTTTAAGTATAGTTTTTTAAAATCTCTGATCCTTCATTTGTGTGTAACTATGCTTTGCTCCCTAGCTTCTTTTTAACCGTAACCTTGCAGATTTTCACCTCTGCTGTGAGTCTGTCATCAGTGTGTGGGGGGGGGGGATGCTGCTGCAGAGAATACATTTACAATCTGGAGCCTTCTGCTGTCGCTCTACTTTTCTCCCTCAGTCTGATTTCTTTTATTTTGTATTCTGTGTCGTCTTTTCAAGTCACTACACCAATCAGTTTTCACCTGTCAGTCCTTCCTTCTTTCCTTTTTCCTTGTTCACCTTTTTTTCTGTTTCAGAACAGACTCCCTCAAATCAGAGAATTCTTCTTCTCTTGTTAAGGTGAAAACTCTCGAGGTTAAACATCAAACATCAGGATTTATATTTCCTGTCCTCACCTGGTACTTGGTCACCTCCTTCGCCTGCGTCTCCTCCAGGTCCTCCAGCTGTTTGTTCATGGAGTCGATGACGCCCCGGAGAGCCTCGATCTCCGAGGAGCGGGACTGAAGCAGCCTCCGGTACTCCATCGTCTCCTCCCGGATGGCGTGCACCGCCTCGTTGTTCTTGCTCGCCATCTCCGCCACGCTCGCAAACTTGCCCTTGTACCAGTCCTCGGCGGCCTGCATGTTCTTGCTGGCCAGCCGCTCGTACTGCGCCCGGATGTCCCGCAGGGCGGTGGAGAGGTCGGGCCGGGACACCTCCACGTCCACGCTGATGCTCGCCACCTGCAGCTGGGCCTGCAGCTCCGCCTGCTCCTCGGCGAACACCTTCTTCAGGAACGCCAGCTCGTCGCACAGGGACACCACCGAGGCCTCGGCGTCGCAGTTGGCGAGCACGGCCCTGTCGGAGTCCTCCCTCGCCCTCTGCAGGGCCTCCTCTGCGTCTATCCTCCTCCTCGCCTCCTCCTCGCACCGCTCCTTCATCTGCTCGTACACGTCGCGCAGGTAGTCCCTCTCCGCCTCCATGCGCATCTTGTCCCCGTTCTCCGAGTCGATCATGGCCCTCAAACTCCTCGCCTGCCCCTCATAGAGCATCCGCAGACGGGACGGGTCGTTCTGCCGCCTCCTCAGCGCCTCCAGCTCGGCCTGCAGCGCTCGGTTCTGCAGCTCCAGGCGCCTCACCTTCTCGATGTAGGTGGCGAAGCGGTCGTTCAGGTCGACCAGCTGCTCCCTCTCCTGGGAGCGCAGCCCCAGCAGCTCGGTGTTCAGGGAGCTGGCCTGAGTCAGGTCCATCCTCTCCGACCCGTCCGGCAGAGAAGAGGACGCCAGCCTGAGGATCCTCTTCACCGCCGGAGGAGCCCGAGGAGACGAGAAGAGGGAGGACGACATGGAGGACTTGGTGGTGGATTGGGAGCCTCCTCTGTAGCCGTCCCAGGGGCGGCGGTAGGAGTAGAAGGAATCGTAGCTCATGATGATTTTTTTTTGTGGTGGATTTTTCTTATGTTTAGAAAAGAATGTTTTTTTTAGTTTCAGAAGATTTCTTTATGTCCCCCTTGTTCTGCACACCATCGGTGAGGATGAGCGAGCGTTTTTGCACTGCACCAGCTCGGTGATGCTGCAGATCCTCAGCTTATATAGAGAGAGGCTGCCGCCCCCCCCCCCCTCCCTCCCTCCTCTAACACGGAGGAGCATCAGTGCTGTCAGCATCCACAGAACCAATCGCAGACTGCTGCAGTGAGGAGAGAGGAAGTTGGTTTTTATGACTCTCATATTAGGCAGAGCTGATGTGGCAGAGCAGCTCACCTAAAAATAGGCTTCAAATGTACCACCTTATTCACTCTGGACACTTCTGGAGGCACATTTAAATCTACTCTAAGACCTCAGATGCGTCTTTTGATCCATAACCAGCAATTAAATGCAACGAAAAATGTCTCGAAACAAAGTCCTTTCTGCAACCCGGTTAGAGAAAATCAATACTGAGTGCATAAAGAGCGAGTGATGGACTTTAACATCCAGCACTAAAAGCTTTACATTTAATAGAAAACAAAGATTTCTTGGTACTTAAGTAGATGAATAATCGACAACTGCGACATCTAAATATCACAAATGTTGAAAGAATAATTCTACATCAGCCTACAGACAACATACATTATGACTCCTCCCCTTATTACTTTAAACTTTACAGATATCTGAAAGTGTTAACTCTGGGCTTTTCTTTCTGATCATCTGCTTCTTTTAAAAGTCTCCTGTAGGTCTCTGACTGTGAGACAGACAGCTCTGCGTGATGACCGATAAACTGCCATCGATCCAAACGTCTCTTTTAGACGGATCTGTTTGATGTGTTTAGATTTCAAACTGATGAGTCACCGATGTTCTGTGTGTGTGTGTGTGTGTGTGGTGTGTGTGTGTGTGTGTGTGTGTGTGTGTGTGTGTGTGTGTGTGTGTGTGTGTGTGTGTGTGTGTGTGTGTGTGTGTGTGTGTGTGTTGTGTGTGTGTGTGTGTGTGTGTGTGTGTGTGTGTGTGTGTGTGTGTGTGTGTGTGTGTGTGTGTGTGTGTGTGTGTGTGTGTGTCACAGCTGAGACGGGAATAGAATTCAGTGTTTTCTGCTGACACAGAAAAACTCTCCTGCTGTTTAACGAGAGAGAGAGAGAGAGAGAGAGAGAGAGAGAGAGAGAGAGACTTATAATAATCTTTATTTATTTTGTGCCAGTTTTCAACATGTTATCTTCAGTGGTTCTCAACTGGTGGGTCGGGACCCAGTAGTGGGTCGCAAATGTGTGCCTGGGAAAAAAAAAATGTGTATCCACTTCAAACTCCTCACCACCACCTACAAATCCCTCCATAACCTGCCCCCCCCCCCACACACACACACACACACACACACACACACACACACACACACACACACACACACACACACACACACACACCTGTCTGAGCACATGTAGGTACCAGATCTGCTCGGGGTCCTGAGTCTGCTACACACAGCCAATCACGACGGAGATATAGCACGTCGTGATTGGCTGATTGTCGGAGAGTTTGCAGATGTAGTTTTATTGGGTCTTTGAGAGGAGAATATGGATGAACGATTAACGTTATGAATCTTTTGAGACATTTTACAAAGAAATACACGAGTACCTCTTGAGGGATTATGTATCCGGTCTCGCCTGGGAACGCCTCGGGGACGCCCCCCAGGAGGAGGAGATGGAAAACGTTGCTGGGGAGAGGGGAAGTCTGGGCTGACTTACTGCGCCTGCTTCCACACGACCCGACCTCGGATAAACCAACCGTCACTGTGAATATATGTATATATATATTATTTAATTTAACAGTTCACCAAAGTTAAATTCCTTGTGTGTGTAAGCATACCTGGACAATAACTCTGATTCTGATAAGTGGAGGAAAATGGATGCATGAGCAGTCAAAACTGGTTTAAACGGGTCACTTGTTTTGGACACAACAAGAAGTGAGAGTGAAATATGTTACTTGAGGATTACTGTCTCTTACCAGTAGGTGGCGTCATAACAAACATTGAGTATTGTACTGTGAATATGTTCAGACAGGGACGCTAAACATTTCAGGTTAGTTCTGAGGCCGTGTGTTTGAATTCTTCCTCTTTCACAAGGAGACACTGATCGCTCTCTCTGACTCTCTGACAGCCAATCACAACGTGCTACATCATCACACAAACGCAGGCGAAGGACCCCGAGCAGATCTGGACCCCAAGTTTGGGAGAGCCCGCTTCAGAGTGAAATATTGTTTGCAGCTCATATTTACTCAGGCTAATGAAAGTGCGTCTTCTACCGAGTCTGCGGAGCAACAAGGATTCTTAACTTCAGATACTTTATCATCACAGATCGGCTCCCAGAGATCAGAGTTAGACTGTTTTTAGAACTGTTCTGCTAGGTGCACGCAGCTCTCTGCGGGGACGTATCATCTTAACACCGGCTCTTATTACTGACCTGAGCCAAATGATCCAGATCCCCTAAAAAGAGAGGAAACTCCCACCAGCATGAAAGGGTTAAAGGTTTTTTAAGTTCAGTTTGTTTGTAGGCGAGTGGCACATTTACATTCTTTAATTCATCGTGAAAAGTTTTCTTTTGGCTCAGTTACAGTCTGTCTTCTTGTAATAAATCAGAGTATTTTTCAGGGAATGTGTGAGCGGAGTGTTGTCATTACAGGTGATGAACACTAGGTGGCATCACTGCATCTTTTACTATTTCTTGAAGAAACACTCTTGTGAAAATTCTCTCTAGTTTCATGGTGTCTGCTTCTCTATGAGCAGTGTGTTAGACAGGAAACAGAAAAAAGTGTCTGACCCGACCCGACCCACATTCTTCACTCTGAGTTTCACCTTTGACCTTCTGGGAGAAGACTCAGGGTCCTTCAGCCCAAGATGCTTTAAACATCTATACGTCCATTCATATTCTGAATAACAGGTAACATAGAATGATGTGTCGAGGGGGCGTGCAATATGTCACCTCTGCAGGAAGTTGTTTTTATGTACATGGTAAATGGACTTGTATATTTCTACTCAAAGCGCTTTGGGTTGCATCCGGAGTTGGAGGCGGGTACAGAGCTCAGACGTGTTGAGAAACACCGCAGGTCACACCTCCACATTCACACACTGATGGTAGAGGCTGCTGAGGAAAGAGTCCATCAGAAGTTACTAATCACATTCACACACCACCAAAGAAGCAGCGGGAGCAACTCAGGGTTAAGTGTCCTACAAAAGGACACATCGGACATGTGGCTGCAGGAGCTGGGGATTGAACCCCCGACCGACTCTACCACCTGAGCCACAGCTGTTTTGTAAGATCTCTATTTATGTACTTTTGAATTCTCTTGCAGCTGCAGCGCAGAGTCCAGCACACATTTCCCTTCAGGGGGAAAATAAAGAATACGTTAACTTATTACATCACCTCCATTTTCTAAGTGAGAGATTTAAGTTTGAAGAAAGTTTTTGTTGCCTCATAAAGTCAAAGAAAAATGCAAATGACGTGTTTTATTCAGAGATCATTTACAGTGAATATATTTCCCAATGATACATAAGGTAAAAAATAAGCACATAAAACATTTTCTATTGACAGATAAAGACTTTGGATGTCAGGCTTCTTCTCATCGCTACAAAATGATCCGCCCTCTTTTCTTTTTTTTACATTTACAAGAATTGTAGGAAAATATTTCCACATGAAATAAATTCTCTGAAGCTTGAAGACTGCATGTCAGATTTACCTTCCTTTTGTTTTTTACATTCAGTCTGCAGAGTACAACGCACACACACACAATCACAGATTATGAGACATCCAACATAGAAACCGGTACAGAAATTTACCTCTCGATACAAAACGTGTAACCTTTGGTAGAAAACATTTATCTCAGGAAAAAGAAATGTGCTCGATATAAAGATCTTTTGCATCTTGCATGGAGTGTCTGCTGTCAGACGTTGTTATACATCCACATGGGCCAAACATTCATCTCATATCAGGAGGGCTGCATCTTGTGTTGACATCAGCTGTTTGCACTGAAGCTTCTGAAGGTGTTCATTCACAGGTCGATCTGTACAGTACTTTGGTTCTTTTTGGATCTCAGAGTGCTGGAGGAGGAGGAGGAGGAGGGGGGGGGGGGGGGTGCGTAAATATTGCGCACAGTGCGTCCATGTGTAAAACTATGTGCCCAAAGAGTTACAAGAAATAAGAGAACCGACGAAGCAGTGACACTTTAAATTCAAAAAAATCTTTCTCCGGACTTGTCTTGTGCATGAAACTGGGGGGGGGGTTACAGTGCAACTTGATTCAGAAGATTTTCAGCCTTTTCCCGATCGCTCCTCTGCCTCCCTTGGCCACTCTCTGGCTCGCCTGGTCCCTGGAGAGCGGGCAGTACTTGATGGTGTGCGCGTTGTCTCCGTTGGCGCTGCAGAGGGGGCAGGTGTACGCCCTCAGGATGGGGCACAGGACTCTGCCGTCCGCCGTCTTCAGGATGTGGGTGCCGTAAACCTCCTCTGGCGCGCCGTTATTCCGACAGAAGACGCACACTTTCGGCTCCGGTTTGCCCCTCTGAGTCTGTTTGCGTCTGGACAGCAGATCGAGCCCGGTGTAGCTCCCTCTGTAGGAAGGTGAATCTCTGTCTCCAAGTGGCGAATCACTCGCCAGGTGCTCGTACGGCCTGAGAAGCGACATGCGCTCCTTGAGATCGTAGATGGAGATCGGAGGAGAACCCGGCGCCGCGCAGCAGCACTCCAAGTGTCCGTCACCGTGCCCAATTACGCACGAACAATCCGAGGACTCATCCTCCAAGCCCAGCGTCGCTTTGAGAGACTCCGTGATGGAGTTGGGGCTGCAGGATGGGCTGTGGATCTTATTTTTAGCCACAAGTGTCGACAGGCCGAGGTAGTCGTTCCAAAAATTAAAGGTGTAATCATACGGAGAGCGCGCTTCAAGGTAACCGCGGTCCAAGAAATCCATCCTGGATTTGAACCCTTTAATGTCCACACAGGTGAGGAGGTGTTTGGGACGGAGTGTCTGTCAGCATGAGGGGTCTCTGGATGGGGGGGTGTTCTCTCTTCTCTCTCTCGGTCTGGTGTGCAGAGAGCTCCACATGTAGGCGCTGATAAAATCCCCGGAATAAAGAAAGGGGCGTGGTTTGGTTCAAGTTGATGATCTGTGTGGGTCCAGAGGAGGGTCCACAGAGCAGAGCTGGGAGTCACTGCTAGGACGATTAGCAGGATAGAGAGTTTCTTTGTGCCTCAACAGAAGAGTTAATCCTGTTGGAGACTGATGATGCACTTTCTTTCATTCTTTATTTCTTTATTTGTTGTTTCTGTATTTTTTTTTAAGAGTTTTTTCTGTTGAAGGAGAAGGCTTAGGTATATCAGCCACTCTTTGTCTTTTCCTCAGTCTTTGGTGGGTTTCAACCACAAAACCTGCATCCTGGCTACTGGAGTGAAGTAAACCCAGTGTGCTGTTTCTTTTTGTTGTTGACATAAATAAAGTCTGATTCAGTATTTTTTAGTGTACTTGATAGAAAACAAACTTTTCATGCATAGTAGAAGTTATGTTTTCTTTGCTTCCAGCTGCTTTTATTAAAAGAGAGGACTCGCAAGAGGGAAAAAGAAAAGTTAAAAGCGATGTAAACGTGGCCAAAACACTTCAGGAATAGAAGTCTTGTTGGTGCTTCCACATGTGGAAACAAACTTCCTGAAACTTTCAGGGTGAGCTGCATGAGTGATCACAAACAGCAGATATTTCTCTTCGACTTCACTGGGAATTTTTCCCACCAGAATTTCAACCTAAAACTGTTCGTAGTTACACTGTATGAAACATGGCCGTAGTCGCAGTGACGTCACCCATTAGTTCCTGAATCAGTGTTTTGAAGCTAAAAGAATGCGGTCGACATTTTGGAAATGCTGATATTTCTTGGAGGAGCTGCATGTGTGAACTCGCACAGCTCCATTTCCCCTCTGACTTTACTCAGAGCTTCTCCTGTCAGACTCTTAGTATTTGTTGAGCTGGGAACGCAGCAGGATCAGGACCTGAAGAGGTCCTTTGTTCCAGCAGCAGTTGGATATTTTAATGATCATTATGATACTGTGACTCGTGCACGGCCATTGATTGTCGGCAGGCGACTGCTACGATCTCAGTGCACAAGATGAAATGGCTGCATCATGTTTCCTGTTCTCCAGTTTGTTCTTCTTCACTCTTCAGTTCATGTTGTGATTCTGTTAAAGTACACATAGCGAGTCCTGCTGGCTGTGTTGTTGTCAGAGCCGTGTTTACATGGACGGGACGGCCGGCTCCTCCCCTTGTGTATAAAAGCTGTTTTAGTCAAGAACTAGAGAGAAGAAGAACATACTCACTGATTATTTGGATGTTAGTAAGAGTTTTTAGATCACGATCATTCTGTGTCAGTTTACATGAAATGTGAAGCTACGAGCTAACTAAAGAGCGCTAACATTAGCATGCTAACACAACAATGTGAAGCTACGAGCTAACTAAAGAGCGCTAACATTAGCATGCTAACACAACAATGCAGGACACAGGTGATAGCAGCTCGAGCAAAGGACAATTTTGTCCATCGCTTGTGCTGAACCCCTTGGTGTGAACGTGACTGGAGGGGGGTTGGAGGAGAGCGGGGGCTTCAGTATGGAGGAGGCGTGGCCAAAAATAAGTTTGTTTTGGTTTCATGCTGGAGTTCAAGGGGGCGACATCTACTGGATCAAAAAGTTGCACGTTCTTCATTTAAAAACATAATTAAAGGATGTAAGAATGAATCATGCACGGGCCTCTGTGTGTGTTTGGTTAAAGGAGATGTTTGGACACAATCTGCAGCGACACTGCAGATATGACCTTTTAGTCAACAAAAACAAAAGGATGATGCATTCAAAGACATAAAGCGATCCTTTTTCTGCACCAGTGAATCTACAGATTAGTGTATATTTCAATGTGGAGCTGCAGCTTCCTCCCTGCACCTGTTCTGCTTCCCCCGAATCCTCCGCTTTGTGCTCACCACCAGCCCATTGTCTCCTCCCTACAGTGGGCCGTTTAACTTCATTAATATGCATGAAAACAGAGTGTGCCGTGTGTGTGTGTGTGTGTGTGTGTGTGTGTGTGTGTGTGTGTGTGTGTGTGTGTGTGTGTGTGTGTGTGTGTGTGTCAGTCAAAGCAGACTGCCCCAAAAAAAAGAGTAGCTTGATGACTGCCCTGACTGCTGCGACAATGACTGTTACTATTTTTGCCGAGTGAAATATTAGGGCGAGACAAAGTTGAGACAAAAAGTCATTTGCACAAATTATATTTTAAAATTGGAGCAAAGATCCGTCTTTACGCTTTGTGGGGGCTTTTATTAGTCAAATAAATCAACAACAGACCATTGCAGATGTAAATCAGCTGCAGAAGAAAAGATCCTGTGATACAGCTTGTAGCAAAAGGTATTTAAAAAAACTTTAATTTATTGTTTTATCTTCCTTATATTGGATTCTCTGTTTTTTTTTAAATCACTTCATGACAACTTTATAAATGTGTTTTTACCAGTTTATGTACAACACCAGTCCGTGTAAATACTGTAACATGAGGCCAGTATTTGTTGGCACACGAGGATTTAATTTGGCTTTAAATCATGCCAAGAGAAATCGGCACAGAATCTGCGTGAGTGCATAAATCCTTAAACGTCTTCTGTGCAGAGGGAACGCATCGTCTGCCGCTGCAAAAAGTTCCCAGCGCGTGCAGGACGGCACAAAGCATGAAGAAAAAAAATCATGTTAGTGGGACAGTTTCCTTGTATATGTGAGAATAAATTATCATCAGAATACACCACATGCTCCCGTCTTCAAGGTCACCTCCGGCTCGGCGTGCACAAAGGAAATCATGAGAGAGCGTTTAAAAAGATGAATGGCTGCCAAATCACAATAGATAAAATGCACAGGGGGACGATATGACATGTGGCTGCTGCTGCTGCAGGGTGCATATATTGCTTATATCTTAATGCAAAGCGTGTTTGGCAGCAACAAAGGAAGTATCGACGATGAATATGAAATACATTCAGTTTACATTGGAGGGGTTTTTACAGCTTTCAGAGAGGGACATTTCAAAGAGCCATGCAGGAGGAAAAGTAGCTTTAAAACACACAGAAAGGAAGGTATGAAAAATAAAAATAAAAGACAGCGGTGATAAATCATCTCGATGCATGAAAAGAAAACTTAAGAGCAAGAGAGAAATTAATCAAAGACAGAACAATACAGTTAGAAGAGGTTCTATCTGTGCAGCGGATAAACAAAGCGTCATCTTGTGCAGCTTCGATAACGGATGAACTGGTTAGTTTCCTCTCTCACAGACGCTTTGATAATGATGAATAAAAAACATGAACATTCAACTTGATGAGTCAGGATGTGTCTGAAACCGCACACTTTCCTACTTCATGCTCAGTGTGACGTCACATCGGGACGGCGGTGCTGAGGGGGAGCTTGACTAATATGTCAGGGTGCTATGGAAAGTTGATTTTCATGAATTCATAGTTACTTTTTAAGTTCTCTCTTTTTTTTTCTCCATCCATACCTGAGGGGGCTTAACTCGACTGGATTTGTGATGGGGCTATAGCGCCCCCTAGCCCCGGTGTAGCGCCGTCCTTGCACATTGAGTATGCAGTATGATACAAAATCAAAGTATGCAATTTTGTGCGTGCAAGAAATGTTTACTTTATCGGACAGAATTTTTAAGTATGGAAGCACACTGGTCATTCTAAACCGACCCACAATGCACTGTGGCTAGAATTATATTGAAATGACTACAAGCTGTATTAGGAATGAACGTTTGCATGTTGTTGTTGTTGTTTGAGGACAGACGGTCGCGCTAGCTTGATCGAACAGAGCTCGGACAAGAAGTGCGTTTCTTGACCTAAACTGTAAATATGAATGTTTGAAGCCTGAGTGTCGTCCCCCATCTGTTCCTGCAGGGGGCGCTGGAGTCCCATCGATGGCGGTCTCCATGCTGGAAATGCTGTCTCAGTCTAACTTTCAGTCAACCTAACGACAGGCTGAGAGCCGGAGCTGAGGCGGGTTTTAAACCTCCTGACAAACCGTTACACCGCGCCCACCTGTCAATCACGTCAGCTATGCCAGCTATGCAATTAATGTTTTTTTGCCAGTTGTTTGTATGTGACTTCCGGTGTTCCTGGAACCAGCCTCTAGTGGACACTCAACAAACTGCACTTCCGTTTTGGATTCATTTTTCAAGACCTGAGGTTGCCACTTGCGCTCGACCCGTATTTGAGTATGTTGCAAACGGTCGGGTTAGTGTATTTAGAGTGTGTAGTACGTGGTGTTGGACTGAATCCAACCTGAACTCTTTGCTGCATGTCATCCCTCCTCATTCTTCTCTCACAGCGTTTCCTGTCCCTCGTCGTCTGTCTTATCCCAAAAAGGCAAAAACAACCGCTAACAACCGGACTAATTAAACCGCTTCGTTATTTTAATAATAGTCGTGTTAATGTGATACACTCCGACTTTATTTACAGATCATTTAGAGTTCCTGTCTGTGGCTTCAAATCTCGCTCTGCTCACACAATGTGAGGCCTTTGTTTGACTCTGTTTACTTCTCAGTCCTATCTGGCCTCCACAGACTGTGTGTGTGTGTGTGTGTGTGTGTGTGTGTGTGTGTGTGTGTGTGTGTGTGTTCCTCCAGCTCAAGTGGATGATGTGTGGCTGGCTCTGACTTCCGAGGGGTTAATAATCTTCATGCGTGAACACAGTTTTCAGAGGGGTGATGATGGCGCCCAGAGGCCTCCTAGGACGCTTCTGCCTGCCGAGCAGCCGAGATGGGCAGGCGGCGCTCCAACCCATTCATCACTGTCACGTTGAATAGAAAATTAACAAATCCCTTAATTAAAAGACCTCTCTCTAGACCCCGTGTGTGTGTGTGTGTGTGTGTGTGTGTGAGGCACGTGCCAGCTGTACTGCTACATTGTGGAAGCTGCAACGGCCCGGCAAAACACACACACACACACACACACACACACACACACACACACACACACACACACACACACACACACACACACACACACACACACA